ACCCCCAAACTGTATATAATCATGTCAAAAAAGGACTGGAGAATCACATATCTACAAATTCGTACAGTAAGCTAAAACTACTAAAGCAAGACAAAAGAGAAGATGAGAGATAAAAAGAAAAAAGAAACGAACAACCAAAGCAAAATGGTTTGAAAATTGTGCTAACAGGTGCCCAGACAAACAATTTGCGCTACGAATGGGCTAAAACAAAAAAATCCAAAAAGTACTACCCCTGTTGTAGTAATTTTTACCGGAGTTGAATCGAAAGATTTGAACACCGGGTCGTTTCTCAAGGAAGGTCAGTCGGATAATTTGCACGATTATTCAATCACACGAAAAGATAAAACAAGTCATAAACATTCTAATTCTATTGATTGGTTTCGATTATCAGCCACTAGATTAACCACTACAGATTCTCAAACAAGACAATTTCGATCACACAACTTCAAACAAGATTCAAATGATTGTAAACGGACTAGGGCGTCGGGGACAATCGTTTCCGGCTCTCAATACATTTAACGGGCACTCAACTACTTGGTTAAAGGGCTCGAAAAACAAATTCATCTAGAGACCCATTCTCAATAACTCACGTAACAAGAGAATGAACATAAACGAACAATTATCAAGTCAATCAACACATAGACAATACGTTACCGAACAAGTCTATTCTAAACGAGCTTAGATCGATCGATTCCTCCCCTTTCGGTTCTAAAAATCGATTTAGTAGATTTAGATGGTGATCAATCATCCAACCCTAGGTCTAGCACAACTCATTCAGATTGAGCAATCAAGGTACACACGAACGAAATTGAACCGAAACAATTATCCTCTAACCCTAGCTACGAATGTAGCCACTCATTGCAATTTCAACACAACAATTCATAATTAAGCAAGCAATCAAATCCATACACAAAATGAAAAGAAATGCTTACGATTAAATACAAATCTAATTGAAACACCACGAATAATCCAAATCCAAAAGCTTAATCTTGGTGTTTTCACAATCCAAGATCAAACCTAAGCAAAACCAAGTGAAAGAAGAGTTTTGGAGTGCAAAAATCAAAAAATACAATGTCTGAGAATTAGGAAAAATAAGCCCTCTCCCGATATTACAATCATCTCCCATTCAAAACTCTTCAAAATTGCGCCTGTTGAAAAACAGACCTTAGCGCCGCTAAGGTGCCTTAGTTGTTCGCCCAGCCCTCGTTAAGAATAGGTAGCGCCGCTAGCCATTTAACCTTAGCGGCGGTAAGGTGGCTTAGCGGCGCTAAGGTCCTTGAATGCCCAAAAGTTGCTTTTTCTTTGGCTCGCGTGCTCGGCTAGCGTCGCTCGGGTACTGCTCGAGCTGGAAAATCGACCTCCGCATGTTTGGTCGCATTAACGGGCATGGAACACTTGGTAACCGGCATAACCTGAAATCACCAAAACTGGAAAAAACGCAAAAAGCAAGAGAAAATAGGAGAAAAGAAAACGAGAACACGAAACACGAATAAATAACACTAAAACACGAGAAATGACTAGATGGACCGGTAACACCTAAGAAATGACCTAAAACGGGGAAAATTACATGCAAAACATAAAAAAAAAATAGCAACAAAAATGGGACAAACAACTCCCCCACATTAAGACCTTTGTTCGTCCCGAACAAAAAGAAAGGAAAAGAAAAGAAAAAGAAATAAACAAATGAGTAAGGACAACAGTTCAAGCAAGTATAATCTCAAACCAATCAATCAAGTCAAGAAGAATTCAAATGATCACAAGGGCACACCTCAACTATTAACTTGGCTATTTTGAATACATAAGCACTCGAGTACAGAAGTGTATCATGTATGCCTCACTCAATTTCATTCTCAAATATCAACTGGGTACACTCAAATTGGTCGTCAATTGAATCAATCATAAATTTGCCTATCATCTAACTCCTACTCTAAAACAATCAAATTCGTGAAACAATGACTCAAGGGGGCTTTAAGGGTTGTAACGTAGGCTCTTTGGATAGGGTAGGATAAATATAGGCTAACTGGCTAAATAAAAAATCAACTCCACTCAATCAGATAACCATAATCATGAATTCTTCCGGCTGCTGACACCAACCGGTTCCCCTCACTACTCCAAAATCAGCCTACCTCCCAACTTATTCACCATTTCTAATTATTTTTTTATTTATTTTTTTTTTTGTGAGAACCTTTGGAAATTTTTACATAATCCATTCTGTTTCTCTATTTTTGTTTTTCGTTTTTTTTTTGTGTGAGAACCTTTGGAAATTTTTAATCCATTCGGTTTCTCTTTTTTTTTTATATATACAAACACGAATCACCTCCCAATCTACACACGTAACTCTACAATATCATCGTCACGAGGTAAGAGAAAGAAAATCAGTAAGGCTCAAAAAGGGTGACTAGCGAAATTATTTTCAGAAAAAGAAAAGGGAAGGAAAATACAAAGAATGCCTCAATCATATTCACGTTCACAAATCCAATTATTTCATTTCCAAGCAGACTCAAGGCAAATTCTAATTGATAACGATTCTGGCCAATATCTCACGAGAAAATAACGAACGTGGCTCAAACCTCACAAGGTAAAATGACTGTCAACAGAACAACCAAGCCAATTCATCAAGATATGCCACTCATTCTCATCATCAGAACTACTTAACCAAATCAACTAGTCTTACAATACACCAAAGTCCAAGCTCAGAAAAACACAAACAAATAATCCTACAAAGTATACCGGTCCACAAAACAAGAGAAAAACAAAAGAAAAAGCAATCCTAGAAATAAAAACTAGACCTGGTCAACCACATAGCCACGTAAACACGTAAAACTCCCCCACACTTAAGATTAGACAATGTCCCCATTGTCAACCCCAAGTACAAGAGAGTTAGACCACACAATTAACCGACTCAAGAATAAAATAAACTATACAAAAATAAAAGAGAAAGAGAAAGAGAAAACGTACAAAGCACAATGACAAGTCACTGTGCGCCCGGTGATGGTGGTGGTGGGGGATGGCTGCTACCCGCACTCTGCTGGGCATCCCACTGGCTGAACCGGGTGTCCCAAGTGCTCCACTGCTGGTACTGCTGGTCCGCCCAGGTGTCCCATCGGCTGTCGTGGGATGTCCAGTGCGCCTCATTGCCCTGAACAAACTCGTTCCATCTCCTGGTCTGCTTCGTCCAACGTGCATCATTGGACTCCACGAACGACGTCCAACGTGCATCGTTGGACTCCATGAACGACGTCCAACGCGCGTCGTTCTGCTGAGTGAAAGTCGTCCAATGGGCCTCATTTCGAACCTCATACTCGGAGAACCAAACCGGAGCAGCTGACTGGTAAGACGCACCCGTGTGCGCGTCTATCAAAGGAGGAGGCTGAAAGGTCTCGTGGGTGGGATGGTTGTCGGCGTCGAGCTCGTCCTCGTCTTCATCATGAGTGTTCTCGCCAGCTGGCGTACCAGCTTCCGGTTGGGACTCGTCGTCCGGAAACGGTATACCCATTTCCTCGCAATAGGCCTTGTAGCTGGCCCGCTTAGTGACGGGCTTCGGGGTGTGTGGGTTGATCAGGTAGCCGGCGTGCCAGAGGTCTTTCTGTGAAATCGGTTTGGAACGGATTGGGGGTTCGTCGGTCTCAACCCCAAAGTACTCTGCTATCTTGGACACCACATGGCCCAAGTTCGGACCACGCCTTGTGTCGTTGCGTATGTCGAACAGGGTGTCCTTCAGGTACTGCATCATGGTCACCGGCTTGTCTTGAGAAACTGACTATAAGATGAACACTTGTTGCTCGCTCACCTTGTTTGATTCCTTCTTGCCGAAGATCATCTGCGATATGTACTTATGGATCACCACATGCGCTAAGTCACTGATTAGGCCCGAAGACGGCCCCTATTTCTTGTATGTCTCGCAGGGGGAGATGACCGCCCAATGCGGATCAACCTTGAATCCCATGGGGCTGTGACGTGACTCGATGGAGGGATCAAAGTTGTAGATGTCGCGCAACACCTTGTCGGTGCTTTTATATTCCGTGCCCTTAAGTCGAGCCATGAGGTACTTCCCATTTTCGTGCTTGGCGACTGTGCTGAAGAACTCCAGAGTCAAATACCGGTAAGCATACGCCTCCGTATCCTCGAATTCCTCGAGATCAAGCAACCTGATGTAGCGGAGAATATCGTCATCGATCTCGAGCTCGTCGTTGAAGTATTCCCAGTCGATATAACGTGGTGCTAGAACGGGCCTGACGTGAAGCCATTGGTATGCAGTGACCTCGTCCATTGACACGACCTCAAAGCGGATGTGATACTGTTGAGCTAAAGACACGGCCGGGGCTGCCGGGTCGGGGTTGGCGCTCGTGGAGGCCGCCGCTTTGCCCTTGGAAGTTGCGGGGGCCTTTTTCTTCGAATTAGCACCGCCTTTAACCATGATTTTCGGTTTGGGTATTTTATCGAACACGTGATGTGCGGGGCTAGAGCTTGCAAGCTCGTGAACAATTTCAAGGTGCTTGATCCCGGAGTTGGCCTCCTCGCGCCTCAACAAAGATCAAACAACAAGTTTCGAGAAGCTGACGGTACCTTTGGGAAGAAATTCGGTCGTAGACGAGCAAGTCTTCACGAATGACGAGCTAGGGTTGGTGAGGAATTCCTGAATAGTGGTTTTTGGAGATGAATGGTGTCACTGAGAGCTCGTGTTCGAAAGTCGCCGCCGTTGGTGAGTCGTCGGTGCAGGTAGGACGGTCGGATGGTCGGAATTGAAAGTGATTCAGGGGTTAGGGTTCGGTGGTTGAGTGGTCTTCGCTTGCAATGCAGGAGATGGACGTTGAGGTGCGTGGTCGGTGGTCGGCGTTGTTGGTGAGCTGGTCGGAAGTGGCCGCCGGAAGTGGTTGAAAATGGCTGTCGGAATCGCGACATTGCTCGGTTGAAAATTGAAAGAAAAAGAAAGTCTTGTGTTGAGATATGAGGAATTGGCCCGTCTTTCCCTTTTTTTTTTTTTTTACGAGTCTCAGACCTTAGCGGCGCTAAGGTGCCTTAGCACCGCTAGCCCGCCATAACTATTCGGCTCAGTAGTTGTCTTAGCGGCGCTAAGGCTTCTTAGCGCCGCTAACCCTTTTTTTTTATATGAATATAAAAATAAATAATATATATATATATATACACAAAAAGTACAGAAATAAGCTCGGTTTATTGCCGGGAGCTCGACACCATTCTGAATCAAGGATACAATGGGTCGCCGAGACTGATGGTCTCGACATGTTGCTTTCCGAATTCTCCTTCAAAGTACGGTTTTACCCGCTGTCCGTTGACCACGAACAAGTCACCATTCGTTGGATTCCGGAGTCGAACAACTCCGAGAGTCAAGACCTCATCAACAACATACGGGCCACTCCACCTGGACTTGAGTTTTCCCGAAAATAGACGAAGTTGGGAATTGAAGAGGAGAACCTTCATGCCAGGCACTAAGTTTTTCCAGACAATAGTCGCGTTGTGAAGCCTTTTGACCTTGTCCTTGTAAATTTTGGAGTTCTCGTAAGCCTCGTTCCTCAACAGCTCGAGTTCGGAGAGTTGCAACATCCGCTCTTCTCTGGCGGCATCAAGATCGAAGTTCATCTTTTTAATCGCCCAGAGTGCCTTGTGCTCGATCTCAACTGGGAGGTGGCACGCCTTTCCATAGACAAGCCTGAACGGGCTCATCCCTAACACTCCCTTGTATGCTGTCCTTTGGGCCCATAATGCATCATCGAGACGACTGGACCAATCATTTCTGGACGAGTTCACCGTCTTCTCAAGAATGGTCTTGATCTGCTTGTTACTCGTTTCTGCCTGGCCCGAAGTTTGTGGGTGGTATGGTGTGGCGACCTTGTGTGAAATGGCGTATTTCTTCATCAGTCTCTCAAAAATCCGGTTACAAAAGTGTTTGCCTCCATCGCTCACAATAGCTCGTGGGAATCCAAACCTGCTTAACACATGACCCTGCAAAAACTTGATGACCACTTTAGCATCACATGTCCTTGTGGGGATAGCCTCAACCCACTTGGACACGTAATCTACGACAAGAATAATATATTCAAAGCCAAAAGATTTGGGAAACGGGCCCACAAAATCAATGTCCCATACATCAAAGGTTTCAACTTGAAGATTGTTAACTAAAGGATTTCATTCCTTGGGCCAATATTCCCAATTCTTTGACAACGGTCACAAGATTTGCAAAAAATATAAGCATCTTTAAAAAGAGTCGGCCAGAATAAACCTGATTGGAGGACCTTAAGGGCGGTCTTTCGACCTCCAAAATGTCCTCCACATTGAAGCTCGTGGAAAAAAGCAACGACATTCGGTTGCTCTTCTTCGGGCACACACCTCCGAAGGATCTAATCCTTTCCCACCTTGAAAAGGAATGGGTCGTCCCAAAAGTAACTTCTGCACATTAACACAAAACGCCTCCTCTCTTGGGAAGAGAGGTTAGACAACAGGACTCCATCTTATAAATAGTTGACAATATCTGCATACCAAGGAACACTAACCACTTCACTCACATGCTCATATGGAAAACTATCATTTATATCAATATGCTCATGCAAAGTAAGTGAATGATTAGTAGGGACAATGCTAGTGATGGGTCTACTTCTGGATCTGGAGTAAACCGGTGGTTGTGAGCTCAGATCTGCTTGAACCGCTTCCCAACCGTCACTAGACCGCGAAGTTCCTGCAAAAACTCAACGCCGGAGGTATTTCCGGCGTAGAGCCTCCGACGCTCAAGTCAGTATGAGAGTGATGAAGAGAGGCTGCGCAGCAGCTATGGGGGAGAGTGGGAATGAATGAGAGTTAGGGTTTTAGGGTTACCTCACCTCCTTTATATAGGAGTGAATATTTACCTGGAGTACCCAGAATGCCCAAGTCGGTGGACCTAGAAGGTCCAAAATGCCCCGGTCGATTCGTCTCCCCTTATTGCTGAGTCATCACAAGATTCCTTCTTACCCTTTGTGGTATGTGGAGCTTCAGATAAGTTATAAGTATAATGAATCGTCTTCACTGTTCTGGTCTTTGAGATGTAGGGAGTCGACTTCGGGAGCTAAGAAGTCGACTTGTGGATTCGTGCGAATTCGGAGGCTACGCTTGGTTTAACTTTCTGCGGTGCAGTCGATTAGTGGAAGTCGACTTAGGATATCGGGATGCTCGAGCGCCGTACTATTGCTGTTCTTCTTTCATCGTTGTCGATTAGTGAAAGTCGATAGACTAAGGTCGACTTGCGAGAGTCGATTGGACCAACTTCTGCCTCTTCTTGATTGCTCGGTAAAATCGACCTTAGGGAAGTTGATTTGGGCATGTCGACAGAGTCGTGTCGGCATGCGAGTAGTTCGAGTGGTTCGCTGGGTGAGCAAGGAGCTTTTGGACCGGGTTATCCTTATGTGGCTATATCAGCTAGAACGATGATCAGCAACCACATTTTCACAACCTTTCCTATCCCGAATTTCTACATCAAACTCTTGCAAGAGTAAAATCCATCGAATGAGCCTAGGTTTCAATTGAGTCTTACTCAAAAGATACCTCAATGCAGCATGGTCAGAATGAACAATCACTTTAGACCCTAGAATGTAAGATCTAAAATTTTCAAGAGAAAAAATTACGCCAAAAACTCTTTCTCGGTGGTAGTGTAGTTCAACTGGGAACCGTTAAAGGTCAAACTTGCATAATAAATTACACGAAGTAACTTATCAACTCGTTGGCCCAAGATGACTCCAACAGCAAGGTTCGAAGCATCACACATAATCTCAAAAGGCAGCGACCAATCAGGAGCAATAACAATGGGTGCAGGCACAAACTTATTTTTCAATATCAAAGGCATCTACACATGCATTATCAAACACAAATGGCACATCATTGGCAAGCAAGTGACACAAAGGCTGGCTAATTTCGAAAAATCCTTTATAACCTGTTGGTGTTATATACTGAAAGCTTGTCTTTGCATGTTATTACACATTTGTTCTTTATGAATGAGAATCGTGTTAGATTAAACAAGTTCTTCGTCTTGTTGTTCTGCACTTAGATAGGGTGGGTCGTCATCGGGCGAATCGAAGATCACTCTATCAGTTACTTGCGAACAAGAACAGTTGTTCACAACCTAGATGGACATGAACACCCCATCCGAACGGTTGTAGTGTCAACTGTACAGTTTGTCTTGACTGATTAGTTGCACTAGTACATTTATGTATTGAACAAGATCCAGAGAGGAGAAGTTCATCTTATACTGATCGTCGTAAATGAACTAGGCCTCGGTTAATTACTGCGTTCTCTTAACCCGTATGATATTAAACAGGCAGACATATATAATATATATTATTTTGATTCACATGGGTGAGGTTCAGTTCGCTGGATTAATATTCTTACTGTTTTGGGTAATATTATTATATATAGGATGTGATGTTAGGATATTTATGGTCACCATGTGCGTTAGTTTGATGATGTCCTCGGAGTGAGTTCATGAAGGATTGTTATGCTAAACCCTGCAGGTGGATTAAGTTCCGGCATAATAAGAATGTGTGGATTAAATTCCGGCATAATAAGAATGTGATGAACGAGCGCTAGCTTCGGTGAAATAATAATAAATTAATTAATTCTTGATTGTCAGTAATCGAATTAATTAATGGACATTATATCTTAAACGTGGGGAGGTAAATCGAGTAATTATTATTGGAGTCTCAAATGTAATTTGGGCTAGGAAAAGGGAGTGCAATAATATAATGTTGGTGGCCCATTAATATTATTTAATTAATTAGAGGAGTGGGCTTGGCCCACAGTTAGTCTAATTAATTAAGGAGCCATTTTCCTAATCTCCTAAGGGTCCCTACTGTAGCTCTATATATACATCATTAAACTCATGAGAAGAGAAGACATATGTCATTATACAAACACACGCCCCACGCCTCTCTCTGTCTAGATCTCATTCGAGCTTTATCTTCTTATTGTTGCTCCACTGGTACAAGTTGAAGAAGGGTGTATTGAGTAATACAGTAGAAGATCTGTAGGTAAACCGAGACGAAATATATTTTGACCTACAGAACTAACCAGAAGTCCTATTGACACGTACAGCATACCCAGACGACTGTCTCGACGAGAGCTTTCCATCGCCGCCGAGATCGTCGGAATCTGACGTCTCACACGCTGTCGCAAGCTCCCAGGCTGCAAAATTTCGTTTTGATCTGTTTGCATCCGTTTGATCCGGTTTTGATCTGATCTTGTTCGTGCAACCCAAGACGTGATTTGCAGCCAATCAATTGCGGTCAACTGTTCGTGGTCAGCCAGATCTACATAAATTTTAAGCCGTAAGTTCTCTACATCAAACCTTTAGATCCACGGCGCATAGGTTTACGTTTGCTATTGAATTCGTGATTTGTACATAATGAGATCCTCACAGATCACAACAAAACCTCCTATAGAAACCAACATGACCCAAAAAGCTTCTAACTCCTTTCACATTCACATGAGGGGGTAATTTTTCAATCACGTCAATTTTCGCTTTATCAACCTCAATACCACGATTCGACACCACATGGCCTAACACGACTTCACTTGTCACCATAAAGTGATTTTTCTCCCAACTCAATGTCAAATTAGACTCAATACACCTTTCAAATACACGAGATAAGTTATAGAGACAGTCAGAAAATGAAGTACCAAAAATAGAAAAGTCATCCATAAGTACCTGTAGGCAATCCTCAAGCATATCTGAGAAAATGGAGAACATGCACCGAATAAAGGGCTCGAATAGTTGGTTGACTTGATAATTGTTCGGTAACGTATTGTCTATGTGTTGAATGACTTGATAATTGTTCGTTTATGTTCATTCTCTTGTTACGTGACTTATTGAGAATGGGTCTCTAGATGAATTGATTTTTCGAGCCCTTTAGCCGAGTAGTTGAGTGCCCGTTAAATGTATTGAGAGCCGGAAACGATTATCCCCGACGCCCTAGTCCGTTTACAATCATTTGAATCTTGTTTGAAGTTGTGTGATCGAAATTGTCTTGTTTGAGAATCTGCAGTGGTTAATCTAGTGGCTGATAACTCGAAACCAATCAATTGAATTAGAATGTTTAGGACTTGTTTTATCTTTTCGTGTGATTGAATAATCATGCAAATTATCCGGCTGACCTTCATTGAGAAGCGACCCGGTGTTCGAATCTTTCGATTCTACTCCGGTAAAAATTACTACA